AAGACTCATTTAATCTTTTTGTAAATAATCTCATTTTCAGAAAAAAATAATTATTATATGCTATCATTACATATTATGAAACAAAATGTATGTGATGAATCAAAATATTTAAAAGCGCATAAAAGCTACAGTCAAACCCTGAGTATTTAAACACCCACCACAACCCATAAATACACCAAATCACATCCATATTATAGGAGAATACAGTAAATGTGTGTAACAGTCCAGGGTTAGAGTTCTCACCAATTGATCTGTACCTAAATACATGAATAGAGACAAAAAAAACGGATCACTCCATGTGTTTGTTATTTTGACTAAAGAAAAATTTTCATATACGCGTTTCTGTATGCATGGAGTACTTTCAGCACAGAGCCCTTTCATTTGCTTAACAAATAGCTGGACAAGACTTTGTTGTTACCAGAGACGAGAGCAGAAATTCCACCGCACTCAGGCATTGCCTTTCCAAGTCACGATCAACTGCCCCTTACCACTGCAAGCTCCTAAGCCAACTGTTTCCATGATTTACGTGGAGATTTTCTTAAAACTGAAATAATTACGAGTCTTTCAGGCATTCTAGTCAAAAATTAACAAAACCAGCCAAAGAAATATGCCTGTAGATTTTACACGCTGAAAATTCATGACTATCTGCATAAAATATGTCATTTTATGAACACCGTAGCTTTAGCACAAGAAACCAGAATCTACTTGCACAGAAGACAAGTTCATCTTTTGGATACCTTTCTGAAAGGCTGGAGCTTCATAGGGCAGATTTTTCTAAATCTTAGTGTTTAAAGTGCTAGACTACAAAAATAGCTAGTTAAATTTTCCTGCATTACACCTACATCTAATACTTCCCCAAGGGAAGAGATGCTTCTCCATGACCTGAGCACACCAGCAGCTTCAAACGTGCACAAGGGATGTTTTCAAACAATATTTGCAGGAGGTAGAGGTAGACTTAGCAAATGAAAATAAGAAACGACAACCTAAGAAGCACTGACGATCATGCCATTTGTGAGGAAAATCCTTGTTCACTTGAAATATTTGGACTATTCATCAAATGTAGTCTGACAGATGCAGAACAGAAACCAGCAAGGCAGGGACTTGCTTGCCCTTTGAGATCGGTTGATAGCTACCAGCGTCCCTTGACCAAATAGGGCTTTAGTGATGTGAATTATCACTAAACCCAGCTCTCTTTTTTTAAGCAAAAACTCACGTATTGCTTCCCCCCCACACTCCTCAAAGAAAAGCCAAAGAGAAAAGCATATGCAAGACAAACTAGACAGCAGTGCAGGAGCAAGTCCCCTGAAATAAAAGGGGTTAAGTGTTTTGGAGGTGTTTGCACACGAGTGGAGAGGAAGGAATGAGCGGGTGCTATCCCGAACCGTTCACAGCCTTGCCAAGGCCCCGTTCTTGCTACTAGAGTGTCATGTCCCAGTGCTGCCCCTCTGCCTGCTCTTAGAAAAGTAAGTGCCCTTGTCAGAAGGGGACAGTATGGAAAGAAGCAGCTTTGTATGAATGAAGAATAATAAAACTCATGCAGATCTCAAAACTCAAAAATTATGGGATTTTGAGGGGAAAGGAGGTGGGAAGTGGATGCCACAAAGATATTTCATCCCCTGCCTTATTAGGTTGATCAGCAAAGCACCAACTTTTGCATTAGAAAAAAAATCTAAGTAGAACACATATACACACACACACAAAAACTCACTGTAAAAAAAAAACAAAAGCCATGTCTTTTAAGACCTGAACTCCTTCACACTACAACCACAACACCTTCCTGAGGCATGCACCCCAACTTCTTAATCCTTCCAGCTTTCTTAAGACAAGACTAGCTGTAAGCAAGTAAATAAATAAATAACGTTCACGCAGGCAGCACTTTGGACCCGCTGCCAGGCAGGCTGGGTATCCCTCGCTCTCGGGACAGAGGGGTCCTCCAGCTCTGCCTCCCACGGAGGGAAGCGGCAACTGGGCTGGGGACTGTGGAGGAGTGGGGAGATGGAGGAGCGACATTTGTGCGTGTGTGTCCGTGTGTGTGTGTGTGTGTCCGTGTCTTTTAAGGATTTCCTCCCCGGGGATGAGCGGCTCTTTCCACGCGCGCTGCCAAGCTCCATCCTTCCCTCCCCGGCCGCGCACGGCACTGGGCGTGTAGCGAGGCCCTAACTGAAGTTCTAGTCTGGGTCTGAACTGAACCTAAGCCCCAGGACTTGCTGTGGATTTGTTCACATTCAGGGACTGTAAAGAGAAAAATGTCAATTTTGGATGCATTTTCATAATGTAAGTCAGAAGAGATTTGTAAGGGGTGGGAAAGAAAGAACATGTTTATACCACGCTCTGCTCTCCTGCTCCTCCCACCAAAAGCAAGCACAATACACTCAGATTTTAAAGGATTTGCATCTTTTAGGTGACTCAGCCAGCAAATGAAATTTAATGCAGATGAGTGTAAAATGCTAAGTCCAGAGGGACAAATGCTCCACTAGAAAGCACAGCTTAAATGGAGCAGTTGTGCAGCATGATGGTGGCTGGGGAAGGGATTTATGGTTCAGCATAGAAAAAAGCTTGCAGTCATGACACCCTCTCCTCATTAGGGCTAAAAGGAGTCCAGAGAAATTAAGCATCAGATGAGCATGGCAGCCACCCCAACTACAGACATAGATTTTCTTACAGCTCCTCCAGAAAGTGATTGTTTTTTTCCCTCCTCATCGAAGTATCTTCTCAATGAAATTTAGCACTCTACTAGACGGACTACAAACCAGGTGGGGAGACTGGATTTGTCTGTAAGTTGGGAAGTGAATTGCCTACAGTCACCCACAAGCCTTAAAATATAGCTGTATGGGAAGGCGGTGATAAGCTCTAAAGTGAAGAATCCACAGAGCTGTCACTGAGTAGAATTTTAGTCCTCTTGTCTGAAAATAAAAAAAAAATTAAAAAAAAAAAGAGTTTGAGAGGGGCTTTTTTGGATTTAGAAATCCTGGAATAGCAACTTTTGTCAGAGAACTTTTGGGGACTTTCCAAGCACGACCTAGGAGTTTTGGGGAATTTTACTGCAAGGGCGCAGTATTCCAAATAATTTCCACTCTTCCTCCCATCAGTCAGAAGCGCTAGGCGCGTGGAGCAGCATCTGCTCTGCCTCTCTGGGAATTGCTAAATTTTAAGGAAAATTCTTTCATTTCCCAGTTGTCCCAAGCTCCTGGATTTTTTTTTTATGCTACCGCTATACTGGGTTCCAGAGGGCTACTTTAGATGTATCCACGTGAGTTTCTTTGTGGTGATTCTGCCATGGGTGGAGTGACCTGCTGATTGCGCAACATCTCTTTCAGAATTATCTGCCCATATTCTGCAATTTCTTTATTTTTTTTTAAATGCAATCTGTGCATTACAGGGAAACTAAAAATAAAGAAATAGAAGTGACTTAACTTTTCCCCATGCAGTTAACTCCACATGTGGCTGGACAAACTCAGTTTTAGAAGTGATGGAATATGTTCCATTGATTTAGAGGATTCATTGAGGCGCCTTTTGAAGTACATTTTAGAAGTAGCCCATCCAATGTAAGTTGTTTGGAAACAAGAATCACAGTTTTTTTTTTTTTTTTTTTTTATTTGGACTGGAACCAAGACTTGTGATAGGATACTAGTAGGAGTTAATTAAGCCCTTGCATTTTTCCATTTATTGTTTGTTTGTTTTAGTATTAAATCTCAGTACTACAAAATTAATTTTGGAATTCAGCCTGTACAGGGGAAAACTCAGTATTGTTTCTAGGACAGAGGTTTTTACCACCGCGTAGACCCAAGTAATCTATGAGGAAAAAGGGATTAGGTAGATTAGGAAAACCTGTGAAGAGGCAGCAGGCTGCAGGAGGCAGCTGGCCAGGGCTGCGAGGGATGTGGTTTCAATGAAAGCCAGAGCAGTGACTGTGGTTATTGCATCACGGAGGTTAGATGGCTCGGCACAGATCGTGGGCACGTTCGCTGCTTTCTCTTTGGAAGATGCACAGGCAGAATGTGTTTTTTAAAGAGTGGATTTCGGGAGGTATTGTACTTCCTGTCTTAGTATCATGCAGTTGAAGATTTCCCACCATGGCTGGGACTCACTAGCGAGGCTCAAGAGCGCGTTGGACTGGTTATGCTCTGTGGTTATGCATCTTTGCTGGAGAGGGAGGAAAGTAGCAGTCCTGATCCTTCAGGGCATCCTTTCTGTGAGCTGCGGGGGCTCCTAGTTGTGCTACATGGGGGCTACTCTTCTTAGTGCTGAATGGTGAGGCTGAAGGGCGACTGTGAGGATATGGAGTAACCGAGGGATGTGGATCAGTGTTTCTCCTGTTGAGAATGGTCAAAGGCTTTTGCTCCTGAATGAGCAGATTGCAGCAGAATACTCGGATCATACTGATCTGCAATCTTTGGTCATCTGCCAACCTGAATTTCTAGTGCTGTCCCCGTTATCCTCTGATTTAGTATCATCCTACTCCAATTTTATAACCTAGACCTGGCTCCAATTACTAGGCTAGTAATCCTTGTATCATCCTGTTTCCCTCATTCCTGGGATCAGGCCAGTTAACTGCATCCTTCAGTTACCATATCTGTTCTTTCAGGCTCTTGTGGTATCTTGAGGTATCCTTTCCTCTTTGTCCTTCCTCACTGAGCTCCTGGTTTCCCAGATGTCATCCAAGGACCAAAGAATAAAGGTCTGGACAAAGCAGGGAAGCAGGGGAGCAGTAAGACTTGCTCCCAAAGATTGCAAAATACTTGCAAAGAAGGTTATATTGCTGCTTCATCTCAGGTTACCCTCACTAGCAGGGCTTTGGACATTTAGGCAGCCTGAAAACGTGTTTCAACACACTTTGACATAAAGGCATGTTCATGGACATTTGCAGAATATAATGTAGGCAAAATTATGGTGAGATTTAGCTGCTCATTAAAGTGTTTGAATTTATTCATCTACGTACGTGCTAAACGTTTATGGCCAATGGAGAGATCTAGTCAATGCTTTCAGTAAAGCCTGGAGAGATGTCCAGCCCAGCTGCTAGACACCGAGTGTCTGGTCAACTTATCTGTAGGCTCCCTTTAACTGTGTTGGGTAAATCCCCCTTGAGCACCCTTGACCTATCATCTGTACGGCGTCTTAATGGGGAGCGAAATCCTTCCCTCAAGTCATACGGTAGAACCGTACAAAGATTTTGAACTATTTTCACAGATTATAGTGTATGTTTGATAGTAGAGCAAACACTCCATTGCATTCAAAATGTACCTAACTGTTCTTGTTTTAATGCAGTCTTTTTTAGATCTATCTTTCGGGTTCTGCCACTGTTCCTTGTTCTGTCGCCGGTGAATTCGTCTAGTTGTTCAGTGAGAAATAAGACAGAAGAAATCCGTGCGAAGTATGAGAATGTACTAATCCACGACATCAGTGAGCTGGTAGGTATTATAGTTCTTGGGCTTCCTAAAATGTTAATTATTTTAAATAAAAACAAATAATTAAAAATAACTCTAGTGACAACCTATGATAAAAAGTCAGTTTTAAAACTACATATGATACTGGGTGATGTCTTTTTTTGAGGATACGACAATCCGTTTTCTAATATTACTCAAAAATCCATTTGTGTGTATCACTTACTTGCCCACACAATGAATGCGGTAAAGATATTTGTGCCTATGCAGTAAGTAGTTAGACAGATATATCTTTGGGGCCTAAATTGTAGAATATATTACGTTAAGAAGTACTCAGTTCTGAAGTAATTTCATTCAAGTTGCCCTAAACACTTGGTTTTTTCCTTTGAAAAGAAGGAAGTGTTACAAAATCTATAATTTGTTCTACTAAGACAGGCTTGATAAGTTTTATGTTGTCTGTGGAACACAAGTGAACAGAGGCACAAAATTAAAACCACTGATTTTTAAACTGGTTTCTACCTTTAATTGCAGGCAATGATCCCACTCAGCTGACCATTTTAAAGATGAAAGTCTGCACGGGAAATTTTAGATTAATTTGGAGATTTCTGGGTACTGAAACATTTCTTGTGGAGAGTGACTGAAATCTTTCATTTTCCAGGCATTTAAGATTTTTGTTCCATTAATCTATGGGCGGAAAATGGTATTATTTTAATACTCCTAATTTTCATAAACCTCTCCTCGTAATTGCTTAGAATTATGAAGGCGTCTTTCTTAATGTTAACCACTAAAATAGTGCTTGCATTAATTGGCATGAATCTCATCAGTATAGCAATAAATCAGCTAATCTGAGTTTTACATATTACTGTACTTTATTTAACCAAGAGTTTTCTAGATGGCAATTGCAAATGATAGCCTCTCCTCCATTATGGCTTTATCAGTGAAATAATTACAGCTTTGCAAAAACTGTCATCATAATTTAATGATCTCTACCCCAGATCTACCTTTCGACTCTTTGTCAAGAACATATAACACATAAATTCATCTGTCAGGAACATTGTCATGGGAGAATAATATTTTACAAGGTTGGATTACGAGAGGCGTTTGTGCGAAAGTGGGATTTATCTGATGGTGCATCAGCAAGCTTGAATTCATCCTTCTGTTCCAGCCTTAAATCAAGATCTACTTGCATGAAATACCAGTGACATACAATACCTTTCCAAAAATGAAGTCACTGGGAGTGAATGAGCTTTCGTATTTCTTCACACTTAATGGTCCATCACTATCCTTCAGTGTTTTACGGCAGTGGTTTTCACTGGTTTCCCTACCAATATATACCTCAGCCCTTCTGTGGAAACAATTATCTTTAGGGTCAGGAAATATAATTTAATCTTCAAAAACATTCTGTTCATGTCTTGTTTATGGAGATCATAAAAAGGAAAGGCTGCTTACCTAGGTGGAAAATGACATTGTCCTGAACAACACACAAAGGCAGGGAAAATATCCATGGCTGTATTAAAACAGATAAAAGGCCCTTTTAGTTTATCATCTTATTCCTGACAAAGACAAGTATTTCCTGCATTAAAAAAAAAAATCTCTTGGTGGGCATTTATGGAATAGCTGAACAGTAAGGTAAAGGAATATGACAGGATTAATAAAACTTGCCTCTTGGAACCACAGAACCACATCCTACCATTTTCCTCTGGAGAAGAGCCATGAGACTTTCTGGAGCTGGAGGTCAGGCAAGCCTGGAGATGGTTCCCATACGTACCCTATATATATCTCTGTATACAGGAGATACATATGTATATATACACAGGATATGTGTACATGTACAGGATATATGCACATATATATATATATCTATCTCACAGTGCTAGAGATGGCAGTGCCTCTAATGCACCACCGCCGTGTGATGCACTCCATGCCCAAGGCGCGCTGAAGGATTGTGAAAGCGCGGTCTCCCCTTCTCCCAGCTTAATTTAAAAAGTTATTGTCTTTTTATTGAAATAAATATTATTGATGACAGGCTTATTTAGGAGACTATAAGAATTAAAACTAATATCTGTTTAATTAAAAAGAAAAAAAAAAAGCTCGGGAATTAATGTTTGCAAAAGGTAATAGAAATGTATTTGTTTTTATATCCTAGAACAGGTATGCACAAGCAACTTCTGTGCAAGTCCTCATTTTTCTGTCTATATTTTATCCAGCTTAGGAGAGATTAGTTTATTAGTTTATAGTCAGTGCACAGTCTTGCCATTAGTTACCAACATATATTATTGATAAGGCTGCTTGAGTGATAGCTCTTGTTCAATAGAAATTTTCCCACAAATGCACAGGTGAAGTCAGTAGCTGTCCTGATCAACCTGGTGTTTGCAGGCAGTTATCTCTGAAATCAGTGAGAATGTGTAGTTACAAAGTGAACTTGCAGATACCAAAACTTAAGTTTTGGGATCCTTTTTTTAATCTTCCTGCAGCTAAAATTCCATTCTTTTGTGATACAAGTAGGGATGTGCGTTATCTTCTCATTTCTTTTTGTGAATGCTAAAATAAATCTCTTCAGATGTCTGAGGCATTTACTTAGGAGACTAACGATAATATAAGGATAAATAATAAATATTACTTTTTTTTTTGAATGGTAAAAGATGGAGAAGTTCAATGAAATCTGAGGATTTAAAATGAAGACCTTTACAAATTGTAGTTGGATTGGACTTTTCTTTGCTTGCTTGACAAGGAAAAGCTCGGGACTGTACACTTGCTATAGTGGGGAAGAGCCTAAAAAAACAATTTAGTGTTCAGGTCACCAGCTGTTAGTGAGAAATTAGGCTCATTTGATTAAAAGTACTCATTTGATTAAGTTATATGTTATCTATTACAGGTAAATATGTCTGCAGAGTATCGTGACAGGTGCTGCAGGAATAAAAAACAGGAAAATCCCAAAGTGTTCTTCTGCAATGATACTCAGGTAAAATTTAATTTCTGAGAATTTAAGTTAGAGAATATGAGCTCGAGTGTTTTATTGTTGTTTTGGGGGTACCATCCCTTAATAATAGATTGTAATAGTGATTAATGTTGCTTTGTAATAGTCAAGTCATGGCATTCAATCTGTCCAGGAAATTGCAGTTTCTGTTTTTTCAATTAAATATAAATTCATTTGAAATATGAATTCTGTATCCAACAAATCTTTTATCTATGTAAATTTTATTTAATATTTTAAATCAAAATAGTACAGAAAATGTATCATCTTCTTCATTTTGCTCATGAATATAGATAAAAACTTTTCCCAGTATCTGTTTTAATTTTTCTATGGAAGTTCATATCAGCTAAGCTTTTAACTTCAGGTTTGACATCTTGTGAAGTAATAGTTTGAGAAAATCTTAAATGGCAGATGGCACAAGTGTCTGCTGTAGCTTCTAAGTTTATTATGTCTTAACAAAAGGACAGGCCCCCAAAATAGCTTTGTGTTTTCCTAATGTATCAGCAGATTTCATAAGAGGTATGAGTTCTCCCCAGTATTCTTAGGATACTATTATTTCTACTACAGATTGATACCTGGAATATTTTAGAGAGATGGTAATTAGGTCAGGTTGCTAAGGTAATTTATTGGAGAATATTCACAGCAGAGGAAAGTTAGGGCCGCTGATGGAGCATTTGAAGACAAGCCAACATTACATGGAATTAATGATGCACAGACTTTTCAGGATATGTTTTTCTTTGCAGGAAATAGAGTCACTACAGAGTATGGCGTGCAACATGCTTAAATTCTTTAATAAGCAAAAAATCAACAAAGACTTTAGATGGAAAGCTACATCAGTCTCATGTGGGACATTAAACATCCTAGAGTGCAGATGTGAAAGACACAAAAAAGAAAAGGTGAGTGCAAATGATGGTTGACATTATTGTAAATACATGGCTTATTCCCTACGGCTCTTCAGAACAGATGCAATATCATGTCAGTCTAAGGTACATCTATCTTGCACATTATATGCATGACAAATTTTGGAAATTTTGCTCTCTAAGATACTAAGCCCAGTGCAAAGACTAATTAAGTCTGGAAGTCTGTAGTCAAGCGGTGTGCACTGCTTCAGCACTGAAACACCTCAACTAAATCTCCAGCAAAAGACCAAGACCAGACTTTTGCAACGGTCTTCAACTAGTGTATTGTATGAAGTCATAGTTGTTACTCCACATTGGGGTTCTACCTTAAATTAATATATTAAATGCCTTACATGCTTAATTTGACTTGTTTCAACAAATAATTAGTGGAAGTTTCTACCATTTCTATTTCCCTTTGGCTGACCCTTGATCTTTATTTTAATCTGAATATCTCTAACTCAACAATGATACTTAGCTATGAAAACATTTGAATTTTCAGTCATTGCAGAGTCATTTTTTTTGGAATGTCACTCAGTTCTACTGCAATGACCACCACAGCAAGGGGAAAATATTCTTCAACTACTTCATGGTTCACAATAAACATGCTGAACTCAAAACTGTTGTCCAACTTTGAAACATCTTCCATAGGTCACAATAAACATGCTGAACTCAAAACTATTGTCCAACATGGATGTTGCCTATGTAGTATGTACTACATACATACATTCTACTATGTATAGTGTAATTCTTCGTGAATTACTTTATGTTGTTTGAGCAAACTTACATTTATTATTTTTCTCCTTGAAATGACTTGCATAACCTAGGGCCAGATCCTCAAAGTAATGTTGGTTCTATATTTTCCTTAGGCATCTGTATTGGAATTTAACTTCTGCCTTAGTATAAAAGGCATTTAAGTCATGAAAGGCAGAGCATCACCCTTGAAATTCCTGCCTGTCCCTGAGGGTGCCTGGATTTACTTACGACCAGTTTTATTTAATCATAAACAGCAATTCAAGGAGGACAAGAACCATGATCTCCTGGTCTGCAGGAGAATACTGAATGATTGGTCACAGTGTCTTCTTCTAGCCATAGTACTGTTTTGTTCCATAATTCTCAAGGCTCCCAACATATAACCAGACCAGGTCCCAGTTAAATTAGCTTCGTTTCTGCAGTTTTTCATGGAACTAAGGTTAATTTTAAACCACTGATATAGCATGTACATATTCTCAGTTGTACATGCTGGTTTCAAAAGTCCCCATTTCCTGTGAGTTGAAGCTGCATTCTCCCAGCTTAGTGTGAAGGGACACGAGCAACGCGGTACCCCGAGTGAGAACTGGTGCAGGTTGCATATTGTCCCTGCAGACAGTGCGAGTAGCCCAGCCACCCGGCTAAATTACCAAGTAACACACCTGCATTATTTGTTGAGATGCAAGGAAATGAATGGTTCACAAGATGTGTATATAAAAAGAATGGGCACTTCCAAATTAACAATATAAACTTCTCTTTTTTCAGATTTGCATATTGCTAAATAGACATAATAAAGAAGACACAGGATCAGCAGAGCACTCAAAAAAGAAATGTAACCAAGAGTTTTGTGAACTGAAAGAAAATATATCTAGCCTTCGATCCTGCTGGAATAAATTTGGAAAAATAATTTCCAGGTGAATCCTGCTTTTTTCTTTCAAAGTGGCATTACTTGGCATCTTTGCATTTTATATGCATTCTTTAATGAACTCTGTTCACTTACATAAACACTTCACGCCAGAATTTTGATGGAAAGCTACAGCACCTTGTTCCTGGAGACAGAATAACTACAAACGGCTAAAAGAAGCTGCTGAAGGACAAGATGTGGAAATAAAAAACACTTTCTGAATGAAAGAAGAATGTAGAAGGCCAAGTTCCACGTCGTGCTTTGGAAATGACTCCAAGCCTTCTTATCTTTTGAGTAACTTTACAGTACCATAATATGAAAGCATACTTCGGTGTCTACCGCTATTAAAAACATGTCTTAAAAACTTCTGACCAGACCAGGTAAACAGTATGACAAAGTAGCTGGTTTCTTTATATCTATATAGAACATATCAAGGACCAAAACGAACTTTTACCAAGCAGCAGCTCTCGAGTCTGTTCTGCTGTTGCAGTAATGTTTTAAGCATAGCTGGAGTTGCATTTTATGGGTCTGCAAACTGATTTAGGTTTGAAAAAACAGGGAAAAGGTTAACTTAAAAAAAAAAAAAAACAACTCAGAAAGAGTACTGGCTCTTGAAAGATGTAGCACACTTCTACCTGCTGAAGTAGAAGCAAGACAGGGAGGCCTTTGGAAGGAGGGAAAGGGGATGCCTGAATGTAAGTTTGTTCAGCGGTCTAGGAACCAGCACTTTGTGCTTTTAGGCATCTCCAGTCAGCTGAAGGAGGAGCTAGAATTGCTTACCTTCAGATTGTGCTTCCTTGTACACGATTATTTTATATAACGTGTTTAATATGCTAGACGTGACTTAATGTTTGTGAATATTTTCAGAGAATAATATATTGGCATTTAACTAATAAAGTGTTCATATTTAATTTTGGATAAATGGAGGTATTTTTATAGTTGTTTGTAACTCTTTTGCAGTTTCTTACTTTGATATTATAACTTCTTTGGTAATAAAATGTTTGTCTTTTACGATATATGTTGTATTTTGGGGCATCAATACTCCCCTTTCAGCTTTTAGCACAGCTAATTATTAAAGGCAGAGCTGGCAATATTGCCTTCAGCTGCTTGGCACTTCCAGTTGTAGAACACCCCTTTCGTCATTTGCTTTCAACTTGGCCAAACAATTTAGGTTGACATTTCCACATCAGGTGTCTGCCTTAGGCTAAATGTTTCTGGAAACCTTCAATTAAAGCAGCTGTTGTTTCATGGTTCAGAGTTAGGGAAACACACACTGTTTTCTCTGCGCTAAGACAAATTACCTCTGGAACTACTCTCAGAAAATGGTGGTATTCAGAACAAGGACCTGCTAGTAATGATGGGATGCTCTTCAGAGAGCTGCACGGAGCATCTCTGACCAGAAAAACATCTGCTCTACTGAACACCTTCGGCCCAGGAGCCTCCTGCTGATGCTGAGGAAAGAGTTCAGAAGCAGGACACATTGCGAGGCTTTCCTGGACTACCACCTTCCTCTGTATTTACTCATGGTGAAAAGACCTTTGGAGCTAGGGGCTGTATCTTTGTAAAATTGTGATTGAGACCATCACACTTTATCTCCTGACATAAGAGCTTTGCAACTTGCACTCCAAAGAGTGATGGGATGGAGGAGAAAGGCAACAGGTTTCACAGGGTCCTACTGCAGGTAAGAAACTACAGTGGCTGTTGTACTGCCTGCCCTGCAAATCCTGTCTGCTGAAAACAGTCCCACATTGCTGAAAAACAGCTGCTATCTTTTGGAAATTTAGGAACATTTGTTGGGCAAGATCTATTTCCTAATGACCACTATTACTTGGCAGGGAAAAGGCACTGGGGATTGGCACAAAAACACGAAGGTGCAATATTAGCAGTTATAAAGCCAAAAATCACAAAATCAGTTTAGGTAACGTACACAGCAGCTCCAATCTCCAATCTGTGGCAAATCAGGCACCTCCTGGCCTATCCTAGGGAAAAACCCAAGCTTAGATCCAGAGCAGAAATTTAAATTGAGATATTATGGAATTACCTGTTTTATTAGTGCTTCTCTTAATAAGTATCTTGCCTGCCTGGTTCTTAGCGCCAGTTTTCCCCGAGTTGCCACTTAGGTGCAAAGGCTAACTGCTAAACACAGTGATTTCTGCACTTTCATTCCTTCCCTTCCCTTTGAGAATCCTCTGTAGCCTTCCTGAAATTAGAAACATGATACAATTTAACTGCTTTGCAGGAAGTGGGCTAAGGAAGGAGAACCTTGCAGGGCACCCCTCCTATTTCATTTTCACAAAATCCACATACTAAGGACTAAAAAGAACAGCATCTCTAAGCCAAGCATATGTTTTTAATTAGCATAGTGCAAAGAAGAAACATGGGTATGTCAAACCAGGGGTTTAGAAATGCATTAAGCTTAGAGGATTGTGGCTGAGAAGACAGGAAGGTTATTTAATTTAGAAATAATAATTTTGGTACTGTTGTTGCAAGGGACTGTGAGAAAAGAAGTGCTAATTTTCAGTGAGCATGTTCACGTTGCACTTTGTTGGAAATCCAACAGCTTGTTGCCCTGCTCGTTATAAGGAGAAGGAAGTATTTCTGGTATGTAAGGTAACTGAATAGAAAGAGAAGGTCCAAATCTCACTTTACACCATCAAATGAGCATATTGTTACTGCAGCTGTTTAGTTGAAAACGCGAGAGTAACACCTCCTGTTCCAGCACTTCAGCTTTGCACTGAGCAAGAGGAGTCACTCAGCAGCTACGCGGGTGCTACAGAGGACGCCAGCATGGCCACAGTCCAGCAGGAGGGCTGGCTCTAAGCAGTGACAAGATTTCTGGGTGCCTTGGCACGCAAATTCCGAATTTCATCCGGAATAAAGGGAAAGTGTACATGACTTTCTCTGAAAAGGGTGGGGTGAAGCAACCAAAAGAGCTACCAGGAGGAACTTTCTCCTAAAAAGAGGAAAGAAAAGAGGAACTGGTCTCCACTCAGCATTTTTTTGTTTTGTTTTTAAAAAGGCAACTTAACCCCTTATTAACTTATTACCACTTCTGCTCACATGATGAGTGAATGTTACAGGAAAACTAATCTGCTTTCCCCCCCTCCCCTCATCATTTCACCAGCAAAACTGCTCTAACTTCATGAAGAAGAAAGAACCAAATCAACTCCAGGTTATCTATTCTACCCTAGCAGCCTTACTGAAGGTTGATTTAACTGCAGGCATCACAACGATAAGCTTGATATATCCTAAACTCTCAGTGGAGTCAGGAAGAAGAAATATAGACATCAACTTCATATGAGTAGATTACACTAATTAAAATATTTACTTTGGGACATTTTTCTTGATCACATTTTCAAGCCAATAACAAAATACACAAGCAAAAAACCCGCCACTATTATCCTCTGAAAGCATAAGGAAGCAGTTGTCTCACAACCAGGATGGGAGCAGTTGGATAGTCCTCACCTTGGTCTGCTTGCCTTCAGACTACTTAGCAGGTTGAATGGTATCACATATCCCTAGGGTATTAAGTTTAAGATAAATTCATGTTTGGCTACAAAGATGTGTGCACTGCAAGAAGCTTTACAGACATATCCACTTTATTGTTAACAAGTGGCAAGTTAATATATGAAAATCATTACACAAACACAACTGACACTAAAACAAACTTAATAGATCCAATAAGATGGAAGCAAAGTTAAAATAACGAAACAAAAGAAACACCAGACACAAATAATTAGCGGACTGAAGTTCAAAGCAAACATAAATGCAGTGCTGAAAGATGCAGTCACCTCAAAAAAGTGTATGAACAATTTGCATAAATGGAATGCCAATAAATAAATTTATGCAAACGCATACCAAGAATCACATGGAGGATGGACAGGGAAAGAATTAGAGCAGTCATTTCAAACAGGTATTACAAGAGTTGAGGAATATTCAGCACTTTACAGAAACAAGTTCAAATCTCTCCATACTTCTGCCAGAAATGCAAATAAAAAATAATAGCAAAATATGCATTTTTTTTTTTAAATCTTAAGATCACTATTCAATTGTTTCATATGGATTACTTGGTTTACAGACTGAAAAGTTAACTCTTTTCATGGAGAAAAGCAATGTTCAGGTTATTTACTTTTGTAAAGAAGAAATATTAGTATTCCATTTAAAAATTAAATGTGAAGTATTCTGGCACTACGAAACAGAGGAATCCTCCAGATAAAAGCATTATTTTGAAAAACTAAATATGCAGAAACAAACATTTACATGAAAAAGTAATCCTTTATATTTTACACAATTGAAACAGTTGCTGAACATAGCTAAGAGATTTCTACCTAACATTACTTGCATTAACAGAATTAGGTGACTCGGTACTTAAACCTTACTCATCAGGTTGAAAAACAAACTACAAAACCACCACAACTTGGAATACACTGTACTTCTTCAAAGTCAAAAAAGGAAAAAATAGTTTTAACATTAAAACAACATTATCAAGTGAAAATTCCACCCTTGTACACAACCCAAGTAATTATTCATCATTTAGTAAAACCAAAAAAACAGTGGCAACACGTGCTCTTAAAATACAGTTTTAGCAAGAACATTTTAATAAAATGTGCCACAATTTTGTTCCTGTTATACAGACACAGAATCAACACAGTGGATACCTGGTGAGCTCTGCAGCACACGGACACCACCATCTCACTCTACACTTAACAGAACGATCACACAGCCTATATCAGTGGGTGCTGCTACGTGCCTTGCCTGTTAGCGTTTAAGTGACTGCAACCCTGTCTCCCTCCAGTGATTTGGTGCACGGACATCATGAAATGCTTCCCTTCACACATGGCATTCCAGGCACTTGCTTCTGCTTGCATCAGTGAATCAGGAACAAATTCCACCCAGTTCACCGAGGGCTTCCATGACGTTCGAGCGCTGGCTCAGGCTTTCAACCCTCTTCAGCGTTATTACTCCGTGCCCCTTGCTACCCGTGGCCTGTGCGGAGGAGCTGGCGAAGCTGCCGCGAGACCGGGGGCAGCATCCAAGGACCATGGAGAGCTCCAGCCCCCCGCGCGCCGCCTCGTCGCCTTCCTGGACAAGGGCTCGGCCAGGTGGAGCTTCCTCGGGCAAATGCGAGAAGTTCCGCCGAGACGCTTCCTTGCTACACAAGGGCTAAAAGGGTAGCAGAGCACCTTTGCCCTGTGCAATCTTGAGGATAAAATGACACTTGCTAAATGTTGTAGGGATACCCAACATAGTTTCAAGAAATCAGAATGTGTACAAGTATTACTTCATGTAAGAAAAAAGCCATATAACGATTGGGGCTTAGGCTATGCTGCTTTGGAGACTGAAGTTGGAATACTTTGATGCCCCATTGCACTTCATCAGTACACTTCCAATGCTGCTGAACAACTTTCCAGCACAAAGACATACCATATATATACATATATATATGCACGCACACGTTTTGTCCTCTTTTGAACAGGATATTCACAAGAGCAACCTCACATAGGATTCCAGCAACAGCCTTCTCTTACAGGATCCCACCATTGACTTCCCTTCCCCACCAGCCAGAGCAAGTACATTAGGAAAACATAACGACCGTCAGTAAGATAAAGTCTGTTATAGGATCATATGTTGAAACAAGTAACATTTGAATAATCACATCAACAAATTACACTTTAAATATTTATTGAGTATTACTCAGCTGTTTGGGGCTACATAATCCTTAATAAGCAACTGGTCCTGCCTTGTATTAATTCTAATTTAGTGAAACTTTTTTTTTTTTTTTGGGGGGGGTGGTGGTAACTATAAAACTTCTCACAAAATGAACATGTGCACACACGTTATATATATACACACACACACATATAAAACTGGAAATACAGATGTTATACGCAGTAGTCATATCATCCTAACTTCACACATTTTATCTAGAGAATTTAGGCTTTTAACATAGGGGTTTTATCTTCACAAGGTTTTAATCTTCAAAAATAAGGGTTTTATCCTCACCGTTACTGAAATTTGGAGTGTTGGGACACTTTGGAAAACTGTATAGAGCACACGTATCCACATTTTTCTCTCCCATGATAACCAAGGCAAAAGGGCAGGTGGAAGGGGTAGGGCAGAAGAACATGGACATATGTAGGCCTTGTCAATAAACTCAGGAATTTTCTGACACGTGTAAGGTACCCAAAGACTGGTTCAGAATTCTTACTCATCCTTCCTACCATTTTTTCCCTAAATATTAAAACAAACCTGCTATTCATATGCAGCTCTATAAGGACACTCTGAGAACAAGCCTGCTGTTTGCCAGTAAACATTTATATGGAAATACAGCAGTATGTGCTGGTAACTTGTAAAGTAGCCTAAGTGGATAACATCAAGTACATTAGAAATCTGTCATTCAGTAGCAAAATGCTTGAAATACTGGAAATATGTTAGGTCTGATAGTCAATCATATTTCATTGTCTGTTTTATTGTAGATTTAAACCCATGCACATTATTAAATATTACTCTCTCAACAGTCATTTTTGTTTCAACAGACTTTCTTGTAAAGCCAAATTAAAAAGTTCAAGAAATCTTTTTAAAGCTCTTCTTTCAATTCAAGTTAATCCGTTGCTTAGTTCTTGCTACAAATCACAGAAGTGTAAACAAAATAAATGATGTGTCACTTGAGTAACTTACTGAACACATTGGAAGCCGAGTTACACAAACAATTCAAAAAGCAGAAGTTGAACCAATCCACACACACAACCATAAAACTGGGAAACCTGCCACTTGCAATAAAAAGGAGACTTCTTTTCCAGCAGAAACAATAACTGGAAAGTCATTAGGTCGGCTAAAGGAATGGATTCCTTGATAGATGCACTGGTTGATCAAACCTTTTCTGGACTTGCATCTTTTGTGATGGGCACCCACCCATAACTTCCAATGATTCTCAGACTGCAGCCCTCCGTGACCCAAGCACAGAGAATGTTTTCTAGAGCATATTTATCTATGCAAAGGATGCAAAACTTATTTTTCAAGTAGAGACACGAATATACCAAACTATGGATCCTAAAATCTTACTAGGCTAAGATTTGTCAGGTCTATCCATCATCAAGTTATCCATCCCACGGTATCCATGGCCACTTTATGCAATTATGATAAAAACAAGACTACACTGAACAAAGTTTTTTTTTTTCTTTTTAGAAATAACTTCCAATAAAAAAGTATGACTATACCAATCATTGAACTAATTCTAAAACATATCAATAGTTTATGGCCCGTAATGGGGCTGCATCAAAGATTTTAAAGCATTTTCCATGACTGATACCTGCTTTAGAGATACTTTTCTTAAATTATGCTTTCTTTGTAATTGGCCCCATAGATTTTATTTTCAAATCTTTTGATCGTTATCTACAAACACATTACTAGGATACAATACTGCAAAACATATTGTAAAAGCTACAAAATATGAGTTTCATAAAAAGCATATAAATTGATACTAGTAGCATTTGAGAGCTAAAAGTAACCATTTCTGACAAAGTTTATTTACTGTGGGGAAGGCACAGTTAACTTCCTTCAGATTGTTCTTCTACGCGTAACTAAGATTGTGAATTTTTATTCTGAAGTAATAACACCAAGAATAAATTACTACATTCAGATACAAGTTAAGTGATTCATTCAAGTTCAGTGAATGTTTTGTAAATGACATAATGTATCAAAACAGCAACCAAAAGTTACAGGGCCTGATCCTCCTTCCAAATGGACCAATGCTAGGTTTGTTACTGACTTCAAGCAGCTGCTGTTCGGAGCCCGAGAATATACAGAACTACAAGAAAACATGTTAGGTATTAACATACAAACGCATGGAGCGCAAGGACTACACTATATGCTCCTACATAAATTGTGCTGCTTACACAGGGATAGAAACTACTTAAATCCTACTCGTAACATTTTAGTGGAACACTTTGTGCTGGATAAAGCAAGGCGGCTGTTTTTAAAACAAGAGTTCAACATTGTAAGTATAGATTTTGTCTTTCCTTCAAGAAATCTGGGGAAAAAAAGGGAGCAGGGGCAGTGGAAACCTCTTAAGACACAATGCAAGGAAATTTTGGATACACTGGTCATGGTGAAGCATGGCAGGAAAAAGACAAGTGTTTCTGAAGAAAAGGTGCTTATTAAAATGAAGATAACATATTTGTCCTTATAAATACACAAAAATATGAATTGGTTTCTATTCAAAAACAGAATGTGGAAAACTACCTCAAAAATCCTTTTTTTTTTTTCTTCTCCTTATCATTGAGTAGACTTTGACAGTTTTCCCCCTTTGTTTCATTAAGAAAATCCAGAGAAAAAACAAAAAGTCCAGTCAGAATACTACTTTTAAAGAGATTAGATAGATCCAATCTCTTTGATACTTTTAATTAGGAATTTAAAATGTTGTTTTCACTTAGTTAACTTTTCAAGTTACTGTCACCTAAGGAGGAAATTTCTTCTCAGAGACACTTTCAAAGCCTAAGTTCTTCATGGCTGGTTTCCTATGGGTGAGGCACCTCATAGATGATTTAAATAATGTTTTACCTACTAGGATTACATAAGTAAAAACACAGAACCATTTCTGCTACCTAAGTTACATAGTATGTTTCTACCTTACTTCAAAATATTTCCAACAGAGATTAAAGAGTATTTCCTCAAATGGCACAGTTTTAGGTACCTGCTATTTCTATATACAGTATACATATTTATATATAAATTACTATGTAACCAGCAGATTGCACGCAGACAGTTACAGTATGATGTTCCGATAGGTTTGCAGCATGAACTCTACCTGGAAGGAGTGCTCTAGCTTTCCATGCAGCAGTGTGTAACAGACACTCTAGGCTTCTCATTTGCTTTTTGCTTTTCAGAAGGCGTTCACACAGCCATCCTTCGAATCCCACACTCACAGCAAAACTTTGCCCATTCCACGGGGTATCTTGTTCCGCACTCGTGACAGAATTTTGATAAGTGAACAGGTGAATTTCCCTCGCTGCTCTTTGAGCTCCCGCCATTGACTGAGGATGGGTGGTCTCCACTATCATACCCAATTTTACTTTCAGACCTGAAAATAAGCCAGATAAAAAGCATTCACTGTAACTCAGTTCAGCATAACTTAATGCAAAATTATGTTAATCCTTGTGGTGAATTACTCTCATTATCTACAGTTTCATGCTTAGACTTTATTTATTTACAGCAGCACGACTTCTCCCCAACTCCACTATGTATCTTCAGTTACCCTCCTTCCCTATAAGGCAAAAAAATGTCAAAATTTCCGGAGCAGAACCAAATATTTCAGTCACCAGCTATATTAACTAGTGTTTCAAAACTTAAAATTTAGCTTTTTGGTGCAAGAAGGCTACTTACTCCCACTCCATTCTTCTTCCCCTACCCTTGAAGGGCAGGTATCGGACAATTGTCTCTGCTGAGCGTGCATGTTTCACCTGAGTTCAACTAACAACATCTGCAAAGCCAGAACACTAGGCCCGCAGGCAAATGAAGTTTTTATCATTGACAAAAAAACCACAAAATTAAGAGTTACCTTGAATAATTTTCTGAATTACTAGTTTTTCTCTTGTTTGTTAAAGCCCCAGTGCTCATGGCTCTTGCCACACTAGGAGGGGTTGAAGTCCGTGTTTTTGTTGTACCTCTAAAACAAAATAGATATTTGGTGAATTACACACACACGAATAAAAAAGGATATATATTTACAAATTATTTAAGAGATATCTATCCATCAGTGCACTACATAAAAATATATCTTATTTTCTATCAATAGCAGACAGAAAAGCTTTGGCATGAACTAGCATGACTTGGACTGAATTTGAGTACTTAAATCTTATGACAAACTAAAAGGCTTAGCATTTCCCTTCCCATTCATGCTTTTCATTTGCTGTCACTCTAGGATACGGGTAGACCTCACACTACTGACTTAGCCACACACTTTATTTAGCACAGATACACCTCAGGTGATGCTTGGTAGTCCCTCTTCCTCCTTAAGGGCTTGCCACAACACCCCTGCAGATGGCTTCAATAGGACAACCACATCGTTGCAAAAGCTACTTTCTCAAGAGGGTTTTATGAGAAGCTAGTATGCAATCAACAGCACATGCTCAACACCCACAAAATCTCAGTGGTTGCTCTGGTAAGTAGACAATTGTCAGAATTGCCTGAAAACCTGAGCAGCACGAAGAAAAGCTGTAAGGGACAAACTTTTATTATCAGGGACTAAAGATAAAGCTTTTCTGTACTGTCCAAGAGAATTACCGTACACCAAAATTTCTTCCTCTTTCTCTAGACTTCAGTGACTACCTTGCCACATGCATGGCAAAACAAAATCTTTTTACAGTTCCCATTCTTTGGCATCAACGTATAAACGAAACATAAATATGGGATTGGCTCAGACAAAAAAAAGTTGAATGAATATTCTGCTTAAAAAGTTTCTGTAGTCACCAAGAGGCCAATAAAGAACAAAAAGAACAACAACAAAACACAACTTCTCCTTTCGGAATTCTGAACAACTTTGTCTTGGTTTTCAAAAGGATTTGAGGAAATGCATTCAACTTCAGTAATTTCAAATGTGACACTAAAACAGAGGAACAATGCAATATCTTTTTAATTTTACACAATATGTAACATGAAGCACATCCTTTTTCATGTTACCAGCAGCTTAAGGAGAGCTTTTCAGTGCCATCCATTTAGTACCAGTTACTTCAACACTTCAGTGGAAAGGACACCAAATGATTAAGTACAAAATAGTGCAACGAGAAAATAAAATTTAAAGATTAAACCAGGTGAAATAATACATAATTCCCATAGTCAGATTCAATAGGAATGGCACCTGCCCAAACTGGAAATGTCTCCAGTGCTCAGAGGTCCTGACACACATGGCAGGACATCAGCTCTTCCTTTTGTTCTTCTGTCTGCCCTCTTACCTTATCAAGAGAGTCTAAAGATGGTTTTATTAAACCTGTACAGACTCAAAAGCATTTCACAAGTTATACCACAATTAAAACCTATTAAAAGTGATAATGTCAATCTTTGAGAGGATACAGAAATGCAAGGTAAAGCTTCTAAGTATCACATAAGCTCAACTGTTACAAGCGCGTATCACAGTACTGGTTCTAAACACACTATTAGGTATTATTTCTTCCTTTATGTGAAGATGCATCTTTTTGTCAAGCAGAATTAATTTGAACTGATAGTGGAGAAAAAATACTGGACTATTAATTGCTATGAAGCTAGGAAAGTAAATAAAGACTAAGACAACTGCAGATGCAGAAATGGCAAATCTCATGGATAAGGGACTGATGAACAATGACGGAAAGCACAGAATTGTGCCCTAATGTCTACTTAGGCAAGTTAGATGAAATATTTAAAGTATATTAATGAATCACACTTTTTCCCTTGATTCTCAACTTTAGACTGGCTTATATCTTCTTCAAAACTGAGCTGTAATTTCTAAAATTGAAATCTGTAGTTGTTATAGATTGAATTAATAAGTCCTGAATATAGTATTAAATATTTAGGATAATAAAGTACATACATTAAAAAGTGCCCACTACTCTTTCCTACACTTCAACCTTTCATATCAGTAAAATGTGTAAGAGTATACCTTAATTTCACTAAGTATTCTGAAAAAAGCCATATGATGCTTTAATATTACATACTTACTAAAGAAATCCACCCACCCATCTTCAAGATACCGAAGATATTTTAAGAACATGGTTTGAATGGTGTCTGGTAAGGTGCATGGACCACAAGCTGAAGGTAGAAAAAAATAACAAAAGACACATGGAAAGTGCACTGCCTACCCCCTTGAGTGAAGCACCGAGCCCTGTGAGCAGATAAAACAGAATCCATTAAAGATTTAAAAGGATATCTTATTTTTCAAGTGGTTTCATGTAAAATTTCTGCAGCTATCTTTTAATTAACTTTTTGAAATTTCAGCAAAAACCCAAATTTATCAGCCCAATATAAAAGCTTAGAGCTAATTCTAAAAGAGTAACACTATTTCAGCCATTTTGATGAATGGATTAACAGAAGCAGCAGGCTACCACCATCTACAACTTTATGCACACCAGATCTAAACACAAAATTAGCATCAATTTTCACTTCTATTTGATGATAGAAATCTGGAAACTGCACCCTCTCATTGCAAGCTGACCACGGGAGAAACAGGTTTTCCCATAAGCATGGGTATCCCTGAATAACTCCATTTCTGCCACCACAGGTGACTCGGTCTCTTCCAATCTGTCCACTCTCTGCCACTTCCATCTACTTGTCCAGTTCTATTTTTCATTTTCTGTTTTCATGTAAACTCCTTAGTAAGGTGTTTAAATAATGTGAAATATTAATGAAGCAGATGAGACTGTATCCTTAATTCTTAAAGACATTGCTTTAAATGTCTTATTTTGCATCTTGACTTTCTCGGTTTCAAAAGAGCCAAGACTTAAGGTGACCTCGTTTCCTACAGACTTTGAGTTTCATTCCCATCTAGGCCCCACACCACTTCTCAAATGAAAAATTGAAAGAAATCTCTAAGTAGAAAAGGGCAAGCTTCTCTTATCTTTGTAAGTATCACAAGCATGATCTTTATGACTAAGGGCAAGTCAGCTCAGGAACTTTGGCCCGAAATTGCAGCCGCTCTGAATGCCAAATCACATTACTGAACTGTTACGTTACTGAATGAATAATGGCTAGTGGCAATGTAAAGACACCTGTCCCAAATGATTGGCAAGTAACATCTTGAATTACAGGTTGTCAGGAAGGCAGACTTCAGCCATGATCCTCACGGGCATGTAAGAGAAGAAGAGGTGCCTACACTGTGTTTAATGGCTGCGTAAAAGACTAGGCAAATTAGTAACTCAAACCGATTTTTAGTATCTTAGGAATGTATTATGAAGTGAACCTGACCTAATTCGGGGGGATGCTCATTCACAGCTCTAACCAAATATGCAAAGAAAACAACAAGTATCTCCAAACAACCATTTTTTTAAAATGCTTTTGCTTTTTAAAGTAGGAATCCAGGTTCAAATACTTCAGCTCTGTCTCAAGAATACATCAGCTTTGGGTTTAACACTAAAACAGCCTTATGATATTTAGACACACTTCTACTATTTAAAGCATTACTTTTCACATTTAGGCCACATGATTCACTATTAACTCCTCTTTCACAATATATTTTAAAATATTGTGTATGAAGAACTAGCCACTTTGAATTGAGTATCCTCCAAATTAATTGTTAACTGAAATATAATATCTATTTCCTTTTAAAAAGGATGGAATACCTTCTTCTCAAATAAGTCTTTGTTTTAGGCTTGCTGAATTTCACCCCCTCTTACCCCCTCTTTTTTTTTCCCCCTTACATGGGATCAGTTGGACTTAAAAGCATAACCATAAGGCATTTCTGTTCTTAAACTTTTACTCTGGTTTTATTTCAGGTTTAGAGAAATACGAGTTCATTACTCTTAACCCAGAATCAGTGACAGAAGAAACCAATTCTGAAAAAGGTTTTCATCATGTTTCCTAACCTATTATTAGAAGCAGTTTATTTAAAATGAAACAGATACTTAGATTACTTATATTCTCTTTTATATTTAAGACGTAGTGGGCAGAAGATATGCGTAAAGATCACATTTTTACTATTCCAGTGCTTTTGAGGAACATTTCTGAAAAACAGATAAACCACGCTGATTTGTAATACTTACTTCTTAATAGGCAACAACTCATTTGGTCTTTTGACGGTACTGTCTGTTTTTCTATCAGTGTCATACAACCTTTGCACATCTCTTCCAGTTCGCAGAGGTGGGCCTAACTTGTCCATCTTACTATTAAAATATATAAAGGGGTACTCATAAGGAGGTTGCTGGATTGCTATTTCAGTTATCGTAAAAAAATAAACAAGCAGTCACAGTTAAACATTGTATTAGAAATGTCATTTTTGCTTAAAAAACAAACACATGCACACAAACAGAATTTAATATTTTAGCAAATGAAAGCGTTCTACTTTCACAAGGGGACTTCTTAGACTTGTATTTGGATTACGTTTCCAATACATACATTTATTTATACTAGCTCTAGTCATCCTCAGAAGCCGCGAAATGCACTCATGCTTGGGCTGTTCATTTGCTTTCATAATTTTAATATATAAATTATATACAAAAATTATTTATATACTTTATTGTATCTAGAAATATTTAGAACTCGTATCAGTTTTATTAAGATGTTGGGAAGTAAATATGTAAGCACATACCACTTAATACAAATTAGAAAGATGGATTTTTTTTTTTTTAAAGGATAAACTGTGCCCAGATAAAGCATCATGCTTTGTATTCTCTGTTTTCTTATGGAGATGAGAAAAGGCCAGAGGAAAGATAAAATATATAATTCAAAAAAAAAAAAAACCACGCACACACACAAAAGAACACACTCAGAATAAACAGCCCTACACAGACAAGCAATACTCTTTTTAATATAAAATATAACAATCCTAACCAAAAAGTCCTGGCAGAAGAGTCCTCATGCAGTGGAAGGAGGAAGGCAGAAAAGTGAGCAGAAAAGAAAAAAACACTTTCTCCCATCTCCCCATCGTAAGGAAAGCTGTATCTTCTCTGAAGTCCTGAACTCTTTAGAGTTCTTAATTAAGTTTCATATTTTATCATCTGCAACAATACAGTAAAACTTGCAAAAATTAAACTACACTTCCATTCTTACTACAAGAATGAAATAGAAAGTTATTTTTATTTTCCAAAGACGTTCACAAGGTTTGAACTCTAACTGGAGAGTAAAAATGCTTCAATCTCAGTATTTTTACTGATCTTTCTGGTATTAAAGAACTACAAACAGACAAATTTAATAGAAATGTCTGTGTAGCTGAACTGTTACTTTGCTTATCTGCAAGTCTCCTATTAGGTAGCGGAAGTAATAAGGGAAAAAAAGCCTTAAAATCATTGTGAAGTTTTATGACTCTTTCGTCATAAAACCTTAATAAACTGCAATGCCAGGAACATCAATAAGCAAATAGCTTATTGCTGTCAAGGGCACACTTATGTCTGATAAAGCTTTTATTATCTAAAAAAACCCACATAACACTCTCGTGCATCTCTATGTGTATCATACTCTCAATATTTTTTCTGCAATTCCATCATTTTAAAAGACAGTTCGCAACATCAGCAGGCTTTGGAAAGCTTCTGATAAGAACCTTGCAGTCTTCATTACATCTGTAGAAGATCAGAGGAAATCTCCATAATGAACAAAAAGAAAATTAACAATGCTAAGTGCTATTCATACATTATAACGCTAGAAGGGAGCACTGAAAATTTAGTCTGGCAGTTTAGCCCCCAGGCTGTAAGGCAAGTTCCTCCTGTTTTCTCTTCCCAAACAGATGTTTTAGTTCAAACCAATTAACCCAAAAAGATGCTTGATCAATTCCCACTTGGCAAAATATATGGTCTTTACATATTTCCCCGAAGTTGTGGAGTGAAGCTGAGATATTTGACACTGCAAGGCACATACTCTAACCCTTTGAGTTTTGGGGGGTTTTTTTAAGCTCTAATTTATCAGCATCATCCTTGAACTCTGGTTACGCCTAGAGCATAAAACACTGGAGATAACATCCTCCTGGCAGTGGTTACGATACTGTCAAAAAAAAAAAAATCCCAGATGACTCAGCTCTTTCATTCTTTCATGTATTAAGAAATAAAACCACAATCATAGGAATGCTTTGCATTGCAAAGCAGACCAAGACAACTTATTTGGTCATCTGTTCCAAATGAACTGTATAAGCTGTGTAACTTAAGAGTCTTAACGAAAGAAAATTAACAGTTTTGCAGGTTTAATATTTTTAAAGGCTACATATGCTTTTTGGGAAAAAAAAACATCAAAATTTAAAGTC